CAACTTTGCAATTACCCTTGTGTCTCCGTGATTCCCTATCCAGACAGCCGTGCTTCTATGGTGCGAACAAAGGGGTCAATGAAAAAGAAACGACCAGTGCGGTTCGACTTTGATCTGACAATCGTCGTGGACTCGCGGTAGCACTAGTGCAGGCCAGACCAAAGCAATTCTGGAGCGAGGGTTCATTGAATGCCTGGTTCTTCCGCAATAACAGGAAGAACGCACCGCTCCAATCACAATGGGATGCGATGATCAGCTGACGCACACCAAACAAACAGCAAGCTCATCTCATCACATTAACTAGGCCAGGATCGAACATAATTCATGCAGCTATCCATTTGGGATGCTCAAAAAGAGTGGCAGAGCAAAAGACTTGAGAACAGATGACTTGCGGAATCCCGTAGATTGTATGGGGATGATCCAGTCTCGGATCATTCCCATACATACAGAAGATCACGGCTAGTCACTGAATGTTCCATGCACTTCTTTTGCATGATCCACGCCGAAATGGATTGAGCTCTGTGAAAACCAAAGCAAAGAAAAAGCAGAAAAAAAGAACTGGAAAAAGTAGGAAAATCTCGGTGGACAGCTTAAAAACTACATGGATTTATAGCCGCTATAAACACCTTTTGTACACCAAGTATTTGCGGAAGCTCTATTGCATGCCACATCCACTTACTAAGAAATAAAGCTCGGTATGCCGGAATATTGTTAGTTGGTATAGGGGATGAAGAGATTATTTTTTGCTCATGTCATGAGCGGCAACAATTTCTGGCTTGGTTATTCCACCAGCATAAGAAATGAACCAAGTGTTTAATAACTTGCTCATTGTGTAAAAGTGGATTGCTACTAATAGGATCATCTATAATCGTTACCGAAGATGTGAAGAAACGAAGAGGAAGAAGCTTCTTTTACGCAAACCTGGTCATAGCAAGCAGATAGAAAGCATTTCCTTTTTATCCCTTCATAAGCATAGAGTGACCCACTCTAAGGAACACGATTTTTGATTTCGACTACACATATGTGCTCCAATGGAAAGAACCCATCAATCTTCTACACTTCCCCACTCGATCGGAAGTCTACCAAAGTGAAGTGATACGAAGAAAAAGGCTCTTACCTTTGGGTGTCGAAGAAGGATCTTGGGCGCCACAACCACCAAAGGTTTCCTGTAGTTGGGAATCACCTGTAAACATAAAGTTGTGAACGATTTTCGAAATCATCAAATGTTCCCAAGAATGATTCACTGTCAGTTGCTTGGCAGCACGGATAATGCAGACCGAGCAGGGAAAACTGGTTCCGAAAAAGAAACTCGACCGGTTTAGAAAACAAAAGAAGTCAAAAACACTGATTGATGGTACGGGAAATTTTCCTACTTGCTC